CCCCAAAACCCCAAAACCCCATATGCATAAAAATTGACAAATCGAGATTAGCTTATATATTAAATAGATCTAATAATAATTATACTTCGCTTAATAATCTGCATGAATTCGGGTTAAATCAAATAAGTTATTTTTTCTCTTTATTTACTATTTCGAAAATTTTAGAGAGTTTGTTTGATGGGCACTACTCTACAAAAGCCGATCCTTGCTCATAATAAATCACTTTTATAAGCTGCTCAATGTTAACTTTTAAATCATTTGGAATGTTTCTACCTCTTCCAGCAATGTAATCATCCATTAGTCTATAAACATGAGTGAATACCTCGGTGGGTAATTTAGCTGGACTCTGCTTATTAATAATTGGCACCATTTCAATGAGTTTATTGGTCAGATATACTTTGGCTTTATTGCCTGAATTTTGGATTGATTCAGCATACCCACCTACTATTTCTCCAGGTGGATAAATTGATATTATCTTGTTCAGTAAGTTTTCAGCATTTTTCTTGGCCTAAGAATTTGAAGAACCTAAATATATAGAGACACTATTGACTGTTTTCCTTAGAGTCTAGAAATCTAATCTGTCACTAACTTCACTTATGATATTATGTAATACCTCAGCTTCTAATAAATTTGCAGAAATCATAGACTTAGCAGTAGCTTAAGGTTAAATTGTTAGTAATGGAGTCATAATTACTTTGTCAAAAGCCTGATAGAATAACTCGTTTTATATTAATAGCTACTTTTATTTCAAAGAAACATCAGCTAAGTTTAGCAAGGCATACTTCCTTTAATCAGTTTATTACTTCAAAAGCAATTGTAATATCTAAGTAATTTCTTCTTAAGGTTGATTAGCGAGATTGTTAGCACTAGTAGTGAGATTTGTGGGTTTCTCAATTTAAGGAGGACTATTGTTTTATTATGTTTAGGCATTTTTCTTTATTAGTGGAGATTTAGCTGGGATATCTCTTTGTGATTAATTAGAAGCAATCTTTTATTGACTTAGATTTTCAGATGAGCCAATTTAGGAATTTGTTTCAGACACTATATTGATATTGCCAGGTAATTCAGGCTTGAATGCTTTTCTAAAGTTTTCTTTCTTTGAGGGAGATTTGTCAATCATTGGGCTCGACTAAGCATTTATATTTGATTTGAAAGATGCCTAGCTTCTCATTCTATTTGAAGTTCTTGAAATTCCTGTTTAGTTGTATACATTCTAGTCTTAACTTTGATTTATTAGACCCTCTAAATTCATTCCTTGCATTCCCTAATCTAAAATCTTCAAGACTTTTTGCTGATCAAATTCTTTGGTTACATACTTCTTGAACAATCGCTCAGAGTCTTCTCTTGTGATAGGATCAGCACCATTCTCCAGAAGTAATATTGCTTACTTAGTGTTCTATCTGACCTCTGGAGAGGAGTCATTCACATATCCTCCAAGCATTGTAATAATCTTGTCAGTATCTTTTAATGTCAAAATCTTCTTGCCTAGTTTCTATACTAGTAATGCTAAAGATCTCGCTATCTAAGTTCTTATTTATGGTTATTTGGCATCACAGTTTTGCTATAAGATCAAAACTATTTTGGATTCAGTGCTATTCTTAACAATACTATAAGTGTTTAATTAAAATATTTTTACGATGTGATAGCACTAATTGCTGATTCTGAAATAAAAACATTTGTATCAGCAGATCTTTTGAAAAGCATGTTTAGTATTTATTCAGTTTCAATTTCCATTAGCTTGCTATTTTAATTGTATGCCTCCTCCACTAAGTTAATGGCATGCTTGGATAAACTTGATCTCAAAGATTCACAAAGTTTTATGAGAGATGGAGCTATTTTATGAATTATTTGAGGAGTCATTTATTCTTAGTCGTACTTGATAAGTTTTCTCAAAATTAATAGTGCTTCATTTTGTTTTTCCCAATTTTTATCTATATGAGATTTATTACTTTCTATAATGATTTTTACCATCAAGCTGAGTTTAAACAGTTAGAATATCTTTTTAGGGATTTTCTGATGGTCCAAGCTCTTCAAAACTCACAAAATGATCCTATTATAATGATTAGCACTTTAAATTACGAAATTCAAGCCACTAGATCTTATGTTACTCTTTGAGACGCTATGAACATCTTGTGACTACTTTCTATTATTAGGTATTTGAATCTCAAATTTATCGTAATTCATCTACTACTAAAATTTAAATTAAAAGCTTACATATTAATGACTTTAAGTCCTATTGACATCATATGGATCATTACTAATTAACTACTATTACTATTAAGATATCGTGGATTAATTTGGATTGTTGATATTATTAAGTTTTGCATTCTGGCTCATCCTTGAATAGTAGTCAGGTCTATTCCTGTTAAGTACATTTGGCGAGCCAATCGTTTAGTATTCAACTTTTCCAGGGAACTTATTTGAGTACATTTTGGGAGTTTAATCCATATAGTCTACTTCTTGCTGCATGTTTTTAGCATAGAATTTAGGTGATTACTTATTACCTCTATTAGATTTAGTCGCTGTATTTTCTCTTGACTAAATCTACACTGTTTAGTTTTATGATTTGTCTGCTAAAGTATTCTTCAAAGCAGTTTGATTATTAAATGAAGATTATGTTGAATTTTCTTGCATCAAAGTCTAATCATAGTCTCCTTTAGTATTAAGCCTTGTACCGTTTGGAGGTGAATTGAATCTATCCTTTGACTTCAGTAACCTGAGCTATTCAGAGATAAGATGAGGTGTGGGATTTCTAGAATCAGGCTTCTTATCATTCATAAGTTAGGTATAATCATCGCTAGGGATGTTGTTTCCAACTATATTTTAACCCAAACCTTGAAATACTCTTCTAGATTTCATTTCCATTTTCTATTCAAGTTTCTTTGTGACAACATAGTCTTCTGTGTCTGAAGTGACATTATTTTGAGCTTTCACTTAATTCATGATCTTGTAAGGTTACCTCTATTTGATAGCCTAATTGTATGGCTAGAAATCGTTTTCACTTATATTATCTGTAAAGTCTTAAGAGTAATACTAATCAGCTGCTTAAATGTTTCTTTCTCTTTTTTATATAGGTGTTTTCTTATCAACCTAGATAGAAAACACGTGAGTTATAGGTAGAGGGAATTCTAGCTTCTAAATATCATTCATCTTCGAAAGGAAAGGAATCAAGTCAGCATCAAGTCTATCACAAAACTTATCATACAATGATTTATCATCAGATAGACATTCATAAAGAGCTTCGAGTACCTAAGTCCTGTTTAATATTGATGCAATCACAGCCATAGTCTCCTGAGCCATATATCTTACTTTGAGAGGCTCCTCTTTATTTGTGAATAAATAAGCTAGTGGTTCTATAATTTACATATAGAGATTTTCCTCCTTAAATGAGGAAGAAATTTGCAGATCATTGATCTGTGAGCCGTCTTAAGTCAAAATAATAGTGATGATACTCCTCAGAAGCGACTCTTTTGCATCATTGCTTATTCTGTAAGTCTTAAATAGATGCAGCAGATTTAAAATCAGGGATTTAGTTTTCATATGCTAATTGTATAGTTAGGAGAATGCTAAATTCTTACATAGGAAAGCTACACAAATAGCGATTCAATTTCAGCTCTGATGATCTCCTTAGGATCATTCATTTTCATTATCAATGAATGGATTAGCTTAGTCAAATTGGTTTTCTCAGCCATCTATGCGTTCCTCATTAGATACCCTTTTATAAAAATATAAACCTGATTTTAACTTACTTAGAATTCTAATTCCAGAAAGCACAATTTTCATGTTATCATCTTGAATAAGGAATTGCTCCACGAATGTGATGAATGAGGAGCAGTAATTCATAAACTATTGCTTCTGCTGATTGCTCATTTCAACCATGAACTTTTCTAAATCTTCAACAACTTTGAGTTTCATTTTCCATTCGCTGTGCTATTAAATGTGCTATATCATGTTGTAAGGCAAACTTCCAAAAGCAAATAAATTGGATATCTGAGGAACAGCATCAAATGAGTAGCCCTGAAACTGACTTGTGATGGCCTCGCTTTTAGATTGGATATCCTATTGGATACTTAAGATATCAGTAACTTATGCCCTATTCTAAGTTGATAGTCTCATAAGAATCTCTGGAAGTTAATCATTAAACATAGATAGAATCTCCCTTATTGAGTTTAAGGATTATGCTCGAATGGTATCAAGATTATCTCCCTTCGCTCTTAATAATAAGCATTCAAGGACCTTTTTAAACTCTACTGTTCTCTCAACTTGTCTATCATGTCCATATCCAATTATCTTTGGAACATGCTTGATACATTAGTGTCGTAAATGTGGCTATAAAGACTTTTTAAGCAGATTCATTTACATTTGTGCTTTCAATCCCATTTTTCTGGATTAATGTGAGAATTTACTCTATGTTTCCTGTGTACTTGCAATACAATTTAATGCAGTTTAAGTTTTACTCTCTCAATGATTCATTTGAGGTTTCAAATAAGCTAACTAGATTTGGTAATATTGAGACCATATGAATTTCCATATCTGGATCATTCTTATAAATGAGCTATTCAAGTATTTTAAGAGTCTCTTCTTAAATAAATTCCACTTCACTTTAATTAAGCTAAAATTAGAATTACAGTTTGATTATTTTACATTTTAGACTGGGGTCAATGATGCCTTTAAGCCTAATATAAGTTTCTTAAGATTTCCAATCATAACTGAGTCAGCCTTTCCAATGATCTTAGCTCTGATTTCTTTCAGAGTCTGAAGTCTTTTATCAGGTTCATTTATCAAAGATTAAACTAGTTCCATAAATTTCAATTTATTAATAATATATAATTTGGAATTAAAAACTTCGAATACTTAATAATTAAAAATACTTCACTAACAACTGCACACTACTATGAAACCTCACTTCTCAATATTCATTCATTATAATATAGGATTGTTAAGTCTACTTTTTACTATTAGAATTAAGCTTTTACTGCTAGCTGTGGTTTGAACTTAAATTCTTTAAATCAATGAGCATTTTGTTTGCTTACTTATCATTATGATTCTTATGATTACTGCTATTTTCCTTCTTGCTAGACTTAGGTCTTCTGGGTGGAATACTTGAAGCGATTATGCCTTTGGTCTTGATCTTATCTTGGAAGTCATCACAATCTTTGCAGTGATCATTACATATTCTGAGCAGCTCTTTTAAGTCAACTAGCAGGTCATTGACTCTCACCTTAACTCCACCTGCTACTTTGTTCTTGGTTTCTTTACTCTACACAAGCTTATCTAGCAACTATTTCTCACAACGATCCTAAATGTGAGAGCAGGAATCTTATTTAAGTAGTTTTTCTATTTAAGTCATGGAATCAAATCTACTGTGATTATTGATATGATTGATAGAGGAGTTTCCTTGGGTGTTTAGACATATAGATTGCTAGAGGATAGTAGATTCAGTGATGTTCTTAAAAGGTGCTTTCTTTTTAGAGCTACAATTAGAGTTTTTCTTTTTTTGTAGACTCGAAGATTTTTAACTTTCACTTAAATTTAGAGAACTTAAACCTTGATTGTTTGGCTAGTTGCCTTGAATCTGCTTATACATCATATTCATTAAATTTCCATAAAATTAACTGGACTTATTATCTGATCTATTTACTTATCTCTCATTCTAGGAAAAGTCAGAGGGCTTAACATTTTCAAAAAGTTAATTTTGCTAATTAGGAGGCTTTTATCTTTTAGTTTGCTATGCAGATTTCGACTTCATATGCTTTTATGGAGGTGGAGTAGAGCATGTTCTCTCTGACTAAACTAAATTAGTGTCTACTTAACTAATAGGTATTGTAAGTTTACCTACCTTAGGCTTCTTTTACTTCTAAGAAGACTTAGATGATGGCTTCAATGAATCATCTAAAAAGTCTTTTTCCTTTTTCTCCTCTCTCCTATACACAAGTATACCCATATCATTACTCAATTGATTAGAAAGTGCTTGCAACTCAGAAAGTTTTATCAACTTCTTGCTATTCTTTTAAGTACTTTTAGATTTGTCTCTATGTAACTACCCTTGTGACATATTATTTACTGTCTATTAGTCATTCGCTAATTTTTACAGTTTTTTAGTCAGATTAACCTGCTTTTTGTTTTTTTACTCCTTTAGTGGCTTCTCGTTAAAAGAAGGGGTGATATCTTCTTCTTATTATACCTCAGCATTATTATTATTTTCCTTATCCAGCCAGAACATAGTTTTATTGAAGATAGGCTTTTGAGAAGAGGCATTTTGCGTGCTAAGCTCAATTGGAATCTCAATATTTGAGATCTTGTCTTCAAAACTTGTCAAATAACTGAATTTTTCTTGAATAAAAGGACTCAAATAATCAGCTTACTGGAATGCCATATTAGTCTTATCATTGAATGGCGTATGATCTACCATATTAAGATCATTACTTAATAGCTTAAACTCTGAATCTATCTGAGTAGATTTTCGACCAATTTCACTCTTAGTATTCTACGAGTCAAACAGTCCAGGACTTTGATATTAGAAATCTGGTATCTATCTCACATTTTTGATTAAGATGTTTTCATTATTGATATCAGTAGACTTATTATGATGATTATAGTTTCCTATAGAGGACTTAGACCTTTAAGTCAGCTAGCTTGTACTAAGCTTTGAAGTGCTCAATACTCTGGCCTTTAGCTCTTTGGAGGGATTCTTCCTCTATCTATTATCTCTGTCCTAAACTTCACTTCTTCTGAATTTACAATCGATTTAAGGAAAATTTTGAGAGTCCAGGTCTACAAATGAATATTGTCTAAAATCTGCCATTGACAAACAAGCAAGCAAAATATAATTTATATTTAAAACTTAACTGCTAATAATGATTCATTAGTCATTTATTCATCTCGGGGTTTTGGGGTTTTGGGGTTTTGGGGTTTTGGGG